AGCTTTACAGTTGTGGGTGGCATAGTAGTGCAGCAGCATAGTAGCTAGGGCTGCTGCTGCAGCCGCCGTCGCCGCTGTCGAGAGAAGTGTGTTATGGATTGGGGCGCAGATTCCTTTGGCTGCGCAAGCGCGCCGTTATCTACACGCACGCGTACACATACAAAGAAAGAGAGCGAGCGCGAACTACAGAAAGAGAGAGGGAGAGGAGAAAGTAGTAGCAGAAGCTCGAGCTTTTGGCCACAGAGACGAAGAGATCTTTCGGACACTTGTTTGATTGTCGCCAGCGCTGCTGCCTGCTGCTGCGAAGCAGACGCGCGCGCACGCGCTGCCTCGAGAGCATGTACATTGTACGACATCGTTTTTCCTTCATTCATTCATTCATTCGATCCTTCTCCAAAGAGAGTCCGCAGGATTTCGTAATTCCCAAGTCGAGTTCGCGTCGTCTGTTGTCCGCGATGACGCGTGCAGCGCAAGCTCAAAAGTCGGAGACGTCAAGCTCGAGCTTGCAAACCAACCTACGACTTACGAGAAACATACACGCGACGCGAGAAAGGGATCTTATATACGTACTTGGCAAATGAGCTAAGTACCTTTGGTCTCAAAGTTGCATCTCGCCACTCTTCGCCTCTTGCGGACGTTTTAATTGAGAGACGTGTGCGGCGACGGAATCCGCTTCCAACTCTCGAGCGAACCTCGTCGACCGCGGTTAATTTTCACTTTGCCAGTAGCAGAAGACATGTCTCCGGCGCTACATGTGCCCGCGCGAACTTGAGCTGCCAGAAAGCTTGGCTCAGATTACACAAACCGAAGCCCTTTGAAAAATCAGCCCCCGCGACTCTTAACGAGATCCTTCTCATCTGTACGATGTAGTAATAATGATAATAAACGACGTAGGCGTGCGTGGGTTACAATTGTGTGTAACACATATAAGCGCGAGCTTTTCGATAACCAAAATACCCTCGATTGGATTTTTTTCTACGCAGTATTTTTTAATAATACCAACAAAGTCGGATTAACTTGAAAATACCATGACCTCTGGGATTTTTTATCGATCTTTGTATTTGTGGCTTTTGATTAACGATTTATGCAGCCATTTTGCCATACAGTTATTTAAACAAAAAAGACAGTATTTTTTCCCCATGAATGAGCAAGTAAGTTGCGTGGGCGACTTGTAAACTCTCGTGGCTAGCAATGTTTTGCAAAATGTACAGTTTGATTCCTCTGCTCCGCATAGCGTCAGCATTTCGCGGGAAATATTGTCAAAGACCATGTATTTCATTTTACTAATGAGGTTTTTCTTCTAATTGCGTCTACATTCGTAATGATGTTGAAAGTAGTCGGCTTATAGCGGCTCTTATTAACCCATTCACATTTTAATAAATGCTAGAACGAGAAGGAGAGCGGAGAGTGAGTTCGAGTTAATTTTGAAACGTCGTATAATTTGTCCGTTATCCTAATTACTTTGAAATTATTTCTTTCGTTGCTATGTACACATCGTACGTAGACGTGACTGTTTCACGTTCGGTTGTGGAAATTTTATTTGATTTTATAGTTGTGAAATTCTCATCCACTTGCGTGGATAAAACTCGAGCCTCGACCTCCCTCGACGGTCCATGTTTGTTGCTGCCACTAGACACACGCTGCGCTTAATCTCATATAGACATTGATACAATTAACGAGACTGAAGAACTCGGGTGAGTTTTTCGTTCTCAAGTTAGTAATTAAATTTCATTTTTTTTTTCTTTATAAACCGAGTAGAAATCTTGAAATTACTGTTGATCAGCAGACGTGTAGGCAATGAGGCAAAAAATCTTGATGGTACGTTTTTTTTCATTCTTTCATTTTCAAAAATGATTGACTATAAATAGCGCGTGGGGGTTCCTGACTATTCATTAGATACACGAGTTGTAGGAGCGCAAGCAGCGCTGCAGAAAATCCGTGGAAGCTCTCTTTCTCTCTCCTACTCTCTGTCCGTAGAGCTTGATTCCAATCGTTATTTATTCCAACCGTACACTTTTCTGCTCCGTTCGGCGATGCATATACAGTGAAACGGGCGGGCGGGCAAAACAAGAAAATTGCATTAGCACGACGAATAATCATGACTGCCTGACTGCCTTTCTATTAGCCATTCCGCCGCTGAGGTGACAGATGTTTTGACATTCAATTTGCCCCGTTGGCTCTTCTCCTATACTGTTATACGGGCACGCTTGTTTATTTTTCATCTTTTTTTTTCTCCTTTTTGTCTATAACCAGATTATTTGAAATAAAAGTTTGCATTAACTCCGTTTATTTTTTTCTCACTTAGTTGAGCAAAGTCCCGGGGCAGTATTTTCTCTCTGTGATTTTGACGCAAAGTTATATTAAAAATATTATAACTGGAAGACATTAATCGTCATTTGAGTTTTTTAAAGCAAAATTTTCAACTATATAACTTGAAACTTGAAAAAAGAGGAAAAAATTCTTGAAATCGAGTGTGATTTCAAACAGTACAAAGCAACGTGTTCACCTCAAAGAGAGTCATGAATCCTTCATTGGGAATTTAGGGAATTAAAACTTTTTCGTCATTAGCGAATTTTCGATACCAACTGCGCGAGCGCCGAATCCGATTATCTTATTTTCCGTCAAATCGATGGATCAGTTTAAATCTTTTTAAAACCTTTATACCTGCAACAACTTTGTAGTAGCTAAATAGTTTGGAACATAAATCGTTCGTGGAAAGGAATTGTAGTATGTTATAATATAAAGCATGCGGTTAATTTCGTTTTTAATTGATAGTTACGAATAATATTACAAATCTCTTTCACTTCTTTAAAGTTGAAATTATTAGAAAATTATATGGAAAATTCTTGATATTCATTGTTTGAATTGAAACCCGGTAGAAAAATTTTCTTGATATTGCGCAAAATATTCATGAAATGAAAAAATCTCTATCAACCGCTTTTAGCTGAAACAGATTACCAATAATTTAAGCATTATTTTTCCAATATAGAGTATCATCAAGTGACTCAAAGCATTATGCATCTTCCACGAAAAATATCTGCTGGTGGCTAAAACATGAATGAAATAAAACTAATACTCTCGCAAAACCGAAGTTTCTTATCGTTAACAAAGTTATAAAACTCAGGGTAAAGACAGGAGAATGACAAACTACTTATTTTTAGTGTGAAAGGATAGTCAAAAACTTTTTATCTGGGCGCGAATGAACGGGAAAATAATAAATGATTTCACGACACCGAACTTCAAGTTGATTCAATTTTTCCCCATCTACCGTTTTAAAAGCGGTGAAACTTTTGCTTTTACTTCAAAACCCGGGCATTTTTAATTTGATCATATAAATCCGGGAAAGTTGTACAATATAGTTGTATAATTGCGTCGGCCAATTTTTTCAAAAAAGGTTCGATCGAGCGAGTGCATGTGGCGCATTAAATCAAGGGCGTACATTTTTCTACGTTACACTGTGATGATATCACAAAGAAGTTTTTCTTTTACTACTTTACTGCTGATACCAAGGAAAAGTGAAAAATTTTTTTGCTTAATATTAAAACAAGTAATTCGCTTTTTCTCGATTTATCACAATCTCTTTTCACCGTAAAACTATCTTCTCCTAAACTTTTCGCATTTTCTATGCTCTTTCAACAAAGTAGTATTAGCAGTACTTGGAGGAAATAGGTAGCGGAGAGTGAGATGAAATTTTTCTGATTTAGGGCGTTATTTTTCTCTCTTTTTTCACGAAAGGTTCCCTCAGAGAAAAGTTGCAATTTTATAGATTTTCATATACTTACCTTTAGTCGCATACAATTTCTCCTTTATGAATCCTTCAAGAAAACTTTGCGATGAATTCGAAAATAACTTATACCCCGAATGTCATGGGACGAACCAGTAAATTTTAGACAAATATCTGTAACTAGTGTAAGTAACATTGCTTTGTGTCGTTATTTAGTTTTTGCGCTTGGATGTGTTCCACCGCTGACACTCAGATTTGAGATATTCCACTACTTTATTTGTGAAAAGAGAGATTGTAACACTCCACTTCTGAGTTACAGGTAAGAAAATATGTCCTTGTATACTTAATGTTGATTATAAAGGTAAGTCTTTCCAAATTTTGAATACTCACCTCAAACAAGATAGAAAAAGATCTTTTATATAATTATTATTGACGCATTAAATCATTATTGGAAGTCATATTCCTTGCTAATAGAGATTATAATCGAGGGTCTTCGAGTGTTTCACAAATTATGAAGGAGTGGAATATTACGTTTACCAAGCCCTCAAGATCAAGTAAGTATGAAACAAACTTAAAATTTCAATTTATAAAAATGAGTTCGTAAAGATCAGTATTATGTCACCATCATATTTAGTAAGTTTATTTGTTTTAAAGTGTTACGATAGTTTTAAGAGTATTCAGTATTTTATTAAATATAATTCTAAACTCTAATCATTTTTATTTAAGATGGTCTAATAACATATATTATGTTCAAGGGACACTTAGAAAAGTATGAAAATTTCTTATAATATCACCTTGAATAGCTTCTAAGATTTCCCAAAAACGCGTTCGATTTACTTTAGCGATCGAGCCCACGCGCAAAAAATGTGTATATATAATAAAGCCCAAACTACTGTAAAGGCCATGTACGAAAAATTACAGAACTTAAACAGTAAATAGCCTAAGGGCATATACGAGAGAGCGAATAATAAGAAAGAGAAATAATTGGAGAGATATATAGAACAGAGTAGGCGACTCGGAGGCTTGCGAACCGTGAACTATATAGGCGGAGGAAAATGATCGATAGGGGGTAGGTATACATCCGATGGTACGGCGAGTCGACGCTGCTGTCGGACTGGAGCCACTTGCAGCGATATCGCACTGCGCCTATCTGTCGTACGTACCGTACCTCGCTCGGAGCGCATTACTATAACCCAGCGTCGTCGTCGTCGTCGTCATCGTCGTAGCGGGTGGGAGCTTTTTCCAAGATGGCCGCGCGGCATCGCTATACGTGTGGTCGGCTTTAAAGCTCGAGCAGCGCCGCCGAGGATTTTACGTCGCTGCGCATAACAGGCAGCAGCAGCAGCAGCTTCGTCGTGCCATATATCTGCCTCCTCGTCTATAGCTGCTGCAAAACAGCAGTGCCGAGTCGTCCTATCTCCTGGGCTTTTCTCGACGACGACGATTACGACGCTGGACTATCCTCGACTCTGCACGCTTCTGCTCGCAATTGCTTTGGATTTTCGATTTAACAAAAAAGTGAATATTCGTTGGAGGGTCAAGCCTCTCCGTTTACCCATTCTGTATCAGCAGACAACAGTAAGTAAATCTGAATATTCTTTGCATTTTGGCCTATGGCAAAGCCTAGTAATTACTGCAGTTTCTTTTATAGTAACGGTCGAAAAAATTAACGGACGAGGGTGTATATGAGTAAAATACGTGTATGCGTATGCACGAGTGCGCGCGCGTATGTGCGTGTATGCGTATGAGTAGGTGTGACATTTTCGAGCGTATATATATCGTTAGGGTGCCGGCCGTCGCCTTTATGTTTCACGATCGATATTTTTTATGAGACTGTACGTGCCCACCTTTAGTCTAGCGATTTTGGATGAATGAAAAAATTCATTTTGACTTCGTTGGGATCGTGTATTTCGATGCACGTTTATTGTAATTTATTTTGCGATTCCCGAGTTTTCGCTTGGGAGCCAGCTTTTGCTGTGTTGCAGGTGGAGTATAACGGCTCGCTTGTTGCAGATATACTCTGCACCTGTCAACAAGTCGTGTAATCATAGTTATATACTTCTCGGTGTGCTGTTTGTTCGCGACAGCTTAGTAATTTGTTACAAAATTTCAATAACCGATTTTGTTTACTACCCCCACGCAGTACATTCACTTTACTTTTATACTTTCAGACTGGTCCATTAACTCTGTAAATACGTGTCAGAAGGTATTCTGCATTATATATACATAGACATATATTGGGTGTATGTGTGGGTGCATAGTTGCTCGCTCGAGCCTCGCGTTGTTCATATTCGCAATAATGAATAGCTTTAAATTAAGCAAGATGGATCAAGCTCGAACAAGTGCAGTTCACAGCTTTAGTTGCTCGAGCGCGAAAGAGAATTACGCTGTACAGTGACTCAAGTGTTCAAGGACCAATTGGATAGCAAATGCATCGCGATGATTCGCTTCGAGTCTTTGTTTTCTCTATAACACGAACGCGCTAAAAAGCCTTTATAGGTAATCGATGTGAGTATGTTGTCAACTTCTTATGCTCGTTTTGTTTACATACACACATATACACTCGTGGACGCCGCTTCCGCTGATGCCGCTACTGCTGCTGGTGCAGCTCGAGAAAAGTATCAAAGTTAAAGCTTGAGTGTAGCCTCGGGCTCTCGTGGAGAAAAAAATGATAAATAAATCATTGCATGATGTGAGATACAATAAGTGCAACGACGTGTCTTGTATAAAAATAAAAGAAAAGTAATATAAATGCAAACCAAGAATTTGTTACGACGACTCCACTTTTTCTTTGTAAGACGTCATCGAATATTTTCATAAATATAATAAAATACGATAGCACGTGTCGAGCATAAGATCGTCGAAATATGATGCGCGAGATTGTTAATTTCCAACAAATATATTTCATTTTATATGAGCGGCGTAAGAAGTAAGACGACGACGACGACGACGACGACGACGACGAGTATCTATACGAAAAAAGCCGAGGAATATTATCGATATAATCCTCTTTGACTAGATGCCTCACTATTCATCTCTGAAACGGTGAGACAGAGATAGAGAGCGGATCTTCACACTCGACCTGTCCCACAAGGATTTTTTCCAGAACATTTTTTCAGGCGTATGACCTACTGCATATGCGAATCATTGCTCTATTACATGCTCATGTAATGTCCCGCATACCTTTTTCATTTATACGTGTGGGCGCCCTCGCGAAAGCTTTTACTACTTCAACTCAAGCATTCCACGGCTTGATTATTATTTTAACGATTATACATTGGGGATAAAGCTTCTGTTTTTCAGTTGAATGATCCAGGGGCGAGCGTGCAATAGCTGTACTTTGAAGGCACGTCTATTGTTTCGAATCAAAATAGCGAGCCCACGGCATATCTTGGCCAATCACTGGCCGCGCGACCTTTCCCCCCCCCCCCCCCCCNCCCCCTCGTGCAATGCTCTGCAAAATTTGTAATATAATGCTAATGATCTATATTGGCTAATTGGATTTATTTTCTCAAATTTTTCACTACTGAAATTAAAGTCTCTGGCGTCATTCGTCATTATTTCAGAGTGCATAATTGCACTCTGTGTGTTAATATTTTTTCGCTGTTTTTTGATCTCCTTGTTTTACTCGCTCAATGAAAAAAATAAAGTAAATTTAGAAATGTAATAAACTAAGAATTTTAAATATTACTGTTGACTTAAAAAAGTCAATATACAGCTCACAGCAGCTAGATCAATTTGATATAGCTCTGCCAAGTTGACACGTGCGAAATTATTCTTCATACAAAGTAGAGCTGTTACTCTTTGCGTATACACGTTCACGTGCTACATTGAAATGTGCAATATCACTTGAAACCACGTATTAATCCTGAAATAGTTCGGTATCTCTCGTAAATCGAAAGCTGTAAAAAAGTAAATGCATAGAACCCGGTAAAGAGAAATCAATCGATAAAATTGATTGACATACGTGTCGCATTATATTAACATTTACATCAATAATAATAATCCTACTTTGAATGCAGATCGTAATAAAATATAAGCTCTAAATTTAAATTGCAAAAAAAAAAATGAAAAGTAGGTGCGAAAAAAACTGGGACGGCGCGATACCAGGACGTTTACGAAAGACTACCGATACGGATCCAAGCGTCAATAGCTGATTCCGCCTGATATACATGTATATCTTACAAAGGGGCCAATGCGCGAGTCCACTATTAAACGTCGAAAGACCGGGGCTGTGAGCGCCAAGCATCGCGTAGCTGAGCTGAGAAAATTAAAACGTTGCATGTGTATATAATTTTCAGCCTTTGTTCTGCAGTCCTTTAGCAAGAAACTTTATATTTTGCTTTCTTCGTGACATCGAACATAATGAACACGGCGTTACATGAAAAGCTCACCCCAAAGACGGTGGCCATGCGTCTTTCTCGGTAACTTTTTGCTCTCCCTAAGCTTGGCGATACTGGCACATGTGAGCCCTACACGCTGTCAACTTCAAAAAAGTTGTTTGTGCAATAATTAGCGTCCGTATACGTATACATACGCGAGCATCATCGTTTGTACATGTATAATATGTACGCGAAAAGCTTAGGTACGGATTTTCCCTGAAATTTATACCCGAGAAAGTTACACTTCAACATTGGTAATTTGGCCAAGGTCTTTAGACACGAATATATGACATAGTGACGAGAGTTTTTTTAAAAATTCATCGCATACGCATCTCTACCGCAGCGAGGAGCACTTCAAAGAGTGTGCATAATTATAATCTTTTAATTGCGTCGATTCGACTTAATTTATAAGCTCCTCGTGTGTCCTCGACGATTTTGATTCTCATTTGAAACTTGTTGAAAACTTGTTTCTCTCGTCGTCATGTTTGCGAGCATTGTTACAAACATATAGTTGAACAATCGGAATTGTTTCGACTCAAATCATAAGTAAGCAAGCCATTCTTTACATGTATTGCAGCACGTCCATGCAACTTGACCCGTTTTCTTTCGAGGCAGCCGTTTTGCCCAAGAAAAGCACTCCCTCTTTTTTTGTGTGAATTCAACTCCTTCATTATTAGGACAAAGCAAAAAATAAAGGAGAGCATCCTCCGAATTCGAGGTGGCTCCCCTCTCGCTCTGATCATAGAATTTTTGCAAAAAAAAAAAAAAATTGAAACGCACTTTCGGAAAATGGCATATCGGGGTCTGGCTCAGCTTTACTACGCGGAGAAAATGATTACATATAATAAAAGTAAATGCATGTACATAGATATAGTTGCGATGCGTACCAGAAGAGGCGAAAAAATAGGTCAGAGTTTAGTAACTCGATGAAACGTATAAGATACAAGGTTGTTGTGCCTGCCCAGCGCAGCCAGTTCTACGTAGAACATGTAGTTTATACCTTTTATCAAGTCTTCCCTAACAAGTTTTGATGAGATACTTTGCTTGCACTTTCAAGCTCTGTGCGTCGAGTGTAAACGTTTTTCTCTCTTCATCTCTCTCTCTCTCTCCCTATCTATCTTTTTCTCCATGTGCTCGAGCGTATAGTTAACACGCACGGTTCATTACAATAGTATAAGCTTTGTTTGTCGTTATATCTCAAACTTGGTTTCGGCAATATAGTTACTCATGTTATGAAAGAACATTTTGATTATTCTCATAATTGCGACAATGACATTGACGATCGTGTCAGAAAAAGAAGGATAAGAAAAATGTTGTCGGATCTCGAGAGCTCGCATCTATGGAGACAGGCAGATAATTTATTTTGACGCGCTAGTGACACGATTATAATACTCCGGTAGCATATCTGAAAGTCGGCCACTGGGTCGATGTACAAAGCAGCGGTGGCAGCAGCAGCAGCCGCCGCCAGCCCCGACGAGATTCTGGTTTGATAATATATATCCTAGCGGAAACCTATCTCTGGTCGTTTCCACGACGACGCGACAATGTATTTAGGATACAGATATACATTTCGTACAGAAAAATTTGCACGTACGAGTGTATAAAGCTTCAGAGGGGATTTCGAGCAGATATATATGTATAGTCGTGCACGACAGTACATTGTTGAGAGATGTGTGCAGGACTCGACTATGCGAATAAGAGTGAATGCGCGAAGAGGCTCTCGTAAACAAGAGCGTGATTATAATAGCGGCTCTTCCGTACGTATCCCTTCAGTTCGTCGTATGTTTTGTTGCACCAGTCTAAGCTGCATGAATGCAATTTTGCAAAGAATACTTGTAGGGTAAAAAAATATCAGCATTGTTCGCGATAAGAATGTGTACACGCGTAACCAATTTTCTGTCGAAACCAGCATGTATATCAGTCATAGTATTCAATAGCACAAGAATTTCATTCAGATGAACATTATGGCCTTTTATTAACCTTTTACGATTGATTTTTTTAAATAAATTTCGAAGAATTCTAATCAAATATTTTATCATGTTTAAACGAGCTTTTAAAGCTGAGTGCGCCGCATGATTTAACAATTTGTGCTATTGTTTCTACTAACTTTTGATCCGATTATTCGAGTTAGATTTCTGCTTTAAAAAATTCATATCGAATGTTTATCGGTTAATTAGTCGCTGAAACTTTGTGAAAGTTTATAGCGAGCTTGCAAAAGTTTTAATTTCAAAGCTTTTTGTTTGCCAACAAGGAATTTTTGATTTTACTTTTGATGATAAATTGGGGATCTATTTCGTTATGCATCAATTTCTCTTTGTAAGCACAAGCGAGATATATTGTGGAGAAAAGATACGTTTGTAAATGTTCTTTTACCAATAATATAATACGTAATGAGCTGAATGATCAGTACATTATTTCACAATCTAATTATTTTCATCCGATTGAACAACTGAACATTATTACGTGACAAAAGGTTTTTTCGTGACAAAAGGTTTACTCGTCACAAAAATCATCAGACTCGCTTAAGATCTTTTTTTCTTTTGCGCAGAATCAATTTCCACTCGCATAAAGTATGGCACCGTTCAAGATTCGTTTCTCGAAAATGGGCAAGTCGCGCAGCGGCGACAGCGGCTGCAGCGCCGGTGGCAGCCACAGCAACAGCATCGAGGTCGAGGAGTGCTGCGCGCCGGCCGAGCAGACGCCGCCCCGGCACCATCGTCATCTGCTGGGTAGCTCGGAGAGCGTCGAGAGCGGCAGCGGCGATCTCATGGCTCTGCCGACGCCGCCTCAGTCCCAGACGCAGCACGACGGTAATAATTACGCGAGCTTGCAGGACTCGACGATGCCCGCCTCGTCACCGCCACCCTCCTACGAACGGGTACTGGAGGAAGTACGTGAGCTCAGGGTTCGTTTGCTCGCCTCATTTTTCCATTAATCGTACATTCGTTATATTTACCTTTGTCACACGGCATCGACCTCGTTCGACTTCACACATTTTACACAACGTTTGGAGTTAGCGATTTAAATGGCCATATAACCGATTACGTGTCGCTTTGTTTTATACGCAGACGAGACTCCAGAGATCTTTAGCCGAGGAAGAAGACGCAATCGAGGAAAGCAGCAACGGCGAGGTTGAGGCACCGCCTCCGGAGACCAAGAAAAAACACAAGAAAAAGCCGCCCAAGCCACAGAAGAGTCAAGAAATCGTGTACAAGTCGAGCAAGGAATTTTATCGTGCCATGGCCAAGCAGTGGGGCATCACTTGCAAAATGAGCGACAACTGTAGGTGCCTCGATTGTCAGGTAAATAAATTTCATCGTACTCGTAATGAAAAATAAAAGAAGAATTATGTTTTCATCTCGAACTTTTTTTTAGTCGCGATACTTCGACTGCGGCTATCAGGAAAAGTACTGCGGTACCGGCGAGTACGGCGAGACCAAGTATCACGAGCAATCGGACGGTGGCCTCAGCGCGAGCACACCCATGTTCGTATCAGAAATGATGCACGGCTCGGCTTGTCTACTACTCTAAATCTGCACATACTTGCTCCACAATCTATATTATAAATATATAAATATATCTATCCATATGATACAATATACATATGACTCGCGGGCCGATGTATATATGCTACAGATCGAGTGTAGCAACCATACTAGCATGTGTCGATGTATGTGCGTACGCATGTGTTTGTTTATAACCACTTCTAGAAAACGAGCGCACATGACCTCTGGTTATTATTACGATACACACGTCAACATGCATGTATACCCGAACTAGCAGCAGTAACACCTTCGTCCCGAAGAACTGAATCGGAAAGTGATAGAGAGTAAGTAAGAGAGAGAGAGAGAGAGAGAGAGAGAGAGAGAAAGAGAGCCTGTGTGCAAACAAAAGAGGCCTTATATGCATGCGACATAGATGGCTATAAACATTGCGCCATCTGTTTAAGCTCCTTGTTGCTTTTCGTACAATTATATCTCCTTGTATACCTGTATGAACAATCTACAATGTATGTGTACTTTGTCCACGCGAGACTAAAGCTGTATGTAAATTTGTGTACTGTACGCGTATACAAGGTGCACCCACTAGCTGCGCTAGACGCACGTTTCATCCTCTCTTTCCCGTCCCCTTTCCCGCTATCGAGGTGAGGTTTGTTGTTTTTATCAAGTTGTAGAGTCATCGCAAGCTCGGAAATATACGACATACACACAACTCAAGTATTTAACATGTACACATGCAGTGCATACTCGAAAGCTCTTGAGGCTTGCAGAACTTGCAAATTCAACAATCTTGAATTTTGTTACAGTTAAGTATTTAACTGCAGTTTCCGTAATTGGATTGTTGAAAAATTCGTTACGCTTCTACATCTCGCTCATAAGTCTAGATATAATAGCGATTCATTTTTACTGCTTCTAAATGAGACGCGATTGGCGCGAACTCAGGGTGAACTTGAAATGAACTGTCTATGAAAAAATTATTGTTCGCAATATTGGTGTTATTCAAAAAACCGATCAAAAATGTTTTTATTTTTATAAAATCATTTGGATACCCTTTTGTAAATTCGATTGGATTATAATTATCCAATATTAACGATTGTATGTTTTTCCTCTTGTTGAATTGTGTATAAATTTACGGAGCTGAAAAAATTTATTGAACATAACACTAATATTTGAATAATTATGGTTGCTTGCATATTTTAAGAAAATTATTATTCTTCTTAAGTATGTGCAGTTGTCACATTTCTATTGGGTTATTTGGTAAAAATTTAAATACTATGAAGTCACTTGAAAGTAATGCAAGATGAATATATTTTGAATGAAGGAAGAAAAAAAAATACATTTAAACTATTTGATATTTCAATCTTCAGTGAAAGTACAGATGAAACCTTTAATAAACTTCTCTTTAAACTTTGAAAAATAACAAGAAGAGGTTGAATCATAATTGAACGACTTTTTTTTATCCAAACAGTTTTAGTAGTAAGAAATAATATATAAGATTCTTAAGTGATGCTGACGCAAGCACAGACAGATTACTCGTTTTGTTGTCAATCAAACTACAACCCATACAATTGGATTATAAATTATGACCTGATTTTGACTTAACAACTGGAACCAAATCTAACTAGAAATTCATGCGCCGTTCAATTATACAAGTGAATATTTCATATTTTATTAGCAATATGAATAAATATTAATAAAAATAATTGTTAGAAAAATAATCTTGAGAATAATCAATCGAGTCTCGAGTATAAAAACATAATTGAGTAAAAAATTACTTCACCATTTTTCAACTAGACTATAAATTAATTCTACCTAACGGCAATGAATTATAATTAAAACAAAAATTTGCCCGTGGTCAATGGGTTAAGTACGTATTACTAAATTAAACGACCACTACAACTATTAAACATGAAACAACTGGTCAATATATTCAATCAAAATTGGTCCATTGTATACCCGAATAAAATCACTAATGCAAAGCCTGAAGCTGTATGCCGCTAATACTTATTGAAAACGAAGAAACATTGTTATGAAAGCCTCACTAGTATTCATAACGTTTAGCGCTAAGAAAATTAGTATTTCGAGAAATGAGAAAATTTCATGACGCTGTCGTGTCCATGATTATTGAAACTTATTTCTCGGAGTACACATGTATCAATGTTTAGACTTTTCCTAAACACGCCAACGCAATTGACTGTTTAGTACATAAGAATTACAGGATAAACCAAACCCACTCTTACCCATTTTCACTAAAAATCATTTAAATGTTCGTAAAATGGAAAAAAAACATGCCCAGTGAAATTAAAATGAGCACAACAAACTTGTCAGATATAGCGAGTGGCTGCTCGTAAATATTTTTGAACTCTTAAAATCATATTTTGCAATGGATAATGTTTCAAATTATGAAACAAGTGTAAAGAATTTTTGCTCAACTTTGTAACTTTAATGATAGGATGAGAATTAAAAAAAGAAAAACATAAACGCACAGCGAAAGAACGCATATAATCAATAACGATGATTAAGGTATTGATGAAAAATAGACATTAGAATAAATTGTAAGTTGATTCGTACTAATATATGTGCAGTTAATTGAATAGAAATTGTACAACTATCAAATGTTTCTGTATTCGTAACTAAGTTTGTCGAGCTTGTATTTCAGCAAATTTTGAGTCGATGTTTGACGAAACAAACGATAATTCATTTAATTACAATGTTCAACCAGCAATAGCTCAAAGAGAAAAATAGCGTGGCCTAAATATGCTATGTCAGTTCATAATAGTGAAATATTTTATTTACTAAAATATTAAGATCTGTACCAGGCTCGTGAGCACTTATACTTTTCAGGAAGTTTATTCGCGTGTTTTTGTAACTCCGGAAGTTTTAACTGTTAATTTTAAATAAAACTTAATTTCAAAAAATACTTTTATAATTTATTTTTGACTTATAAAGTATTGTTTTATGCCTTTTTTTTAATCTCAACAAATTAAAATAAGTTGGCAAAAAAAATCATTATTCCTTACTACTACTGTGTCGGTTAGGAAGAAATTGTTTCTCTTCGTTGATAAAAATGTACTTACCCAAAAACTATTATATACACATTTCTCGTCAATTCTTGCTCGTAATTTTTCGATCTTCATTTTTAGAGCTTGAATGAAGTACATGAAGTACTGTGATCAAATCACAGTCGCAAGCTTTACGATTAATCGATGAAAATGAAGTTTGTTTCAAATATCGTCATTCACAATGCATTAGACCTACTGGAAGGAAAAAACATATTAATCTGTTTAGCGCTTTGAGCCTTGGGAGCGAAATACAACCCGTAAGTACAGTGTAACCCGACTCGTGCCTCTCTGTTTCATTTTGTGACATCCTACATATAGCTATCTACGTCTCTTTTTTGAATAAGGCGCCAACGCATCGAAAGTCCTAATCAAAACAGCTAAGCCTGCGCCGGTACCGTTGTTTTACCATTCTTTACCATTCCTTACCATACTACATTATCATAATCTAACTTACCATAATTACCATCGGTTTTACTCTTTTATCAATAATATTAAAATTAATAATAGGTACATAACAATAAAATTAAACGATGCTAAATAAAACAAGCTATCAAAAAATATAAAAATAAAATCACAAACATTTATATTAATAATTAAATTTGGAACTTAAAGATCACTATGTGCATTCACATGGCGAGTACAATATATGCCACTATTTCTATCAATATTTACAACGATGTTACAGCCTAGAATATTAATTGGATCATTTTATTTTATTTAACTTATTCACATCAAAACACATTTACAACACTTCTATCAAAAAACATTATTGTAAACAGAACTTTATTTATTTATTAGATGACGACATTTTTTACACAAGTCGTTCACCACTGTATATTTCACTGCACTGTATAATATTTCATATTAAAACACTTATAACACCATAGCGAAATTTAGTATCATAATTTTAAGTTAATATTTTGTTCATTGTAATAGTTATTAAGCAAAATCAATAAAGTCAGTTTGCTAAGAACGCCCGCGGAACGGTCCAACACGACGGTTGCTCGTCCCCACTTTTGGTCACTCCGCAGAAAGTGTATAAATACGGGCCTCCTCAGAGGCAAGAATCAGTCTCAATACTCAGTCGAATTAAGGCAGTCTAACGAGCAGCATAGGTCCTCAGTACCAATGCACTCATTGCCTAGTTTTGAGTAAAGTTCACTAGATCTAGTTATTTATTAGACCTAGTTACTAAAGTAACATTCACAGATTCGTTTGACTCAGGCGTTGCGTAGGCTGCTGGGATTTCACCATTAACCCATTAACGCGCAAAAGTGCAATTTTGTGCATGAATTTTTCTTTGTAAAAAAATTATAGATAAAGTTAAAATATTTTCTTAAAAATCCATACCCAGGGGTTTTTGAGTATGCTATTTCAGTATCCGGTGTTATTTTTGCGATAAATAAACATTATCATCGTTTATTTTGCCATTAAAAACAAAAAACGTAATTTTTTGATTCAAAATTTTTTTTCAAAGTCGATTTTCTACCTTGCCTTACCTTCGAAGGCTCCCATAACACCAGAAATCGTGCACTTTTTCTCTGAACCTTCGAAAAATGCGCTGCCGCGATTTTTATCTAGCTGCTATATTTCTAAAATGGCGAATTTATACCGAGCAGCGATATGAAAATTGCCTTATTTTTTATTTGTAAATTATTGACTTTATGAAAGAAAGTCATATAATGAAAAGTGTTCAAATTTGTTCGAAAAACACATGTGAATTTTTTTTAGAATTTTTTAATAATTTTTTCAGAATTTTTCAGATTTTTTTTTGGAACATTTTGGATTTTTTCGACAGGCCGGGAAATGGTCGTATTTTGCAAAATTTTCAAAGTGGTCTGAAAAATTCTGAAAAAATTCACACGTATTCTCTAAACGATTTCAAATAAGTTTTTACACTCCAAATTGTACTTTTGAGTTCATATTTAGCGCATGTAAAATAGGTTCTGAGTAAAAGATGAGTGAATTTTTATACCGCTGCTCGGTATAAATTCGCCATTTTTGAAATATAGGGGCTAGATAAAAATCGCGGCAGCGCTTTTTTTGAAGGTTCAGAGAAAAAGTGCACGATTTCTGGTGTTATGGGAACCCTCCGAAGGCAAGGCAAGGTAGAAAATCGACTTTGAAAAAAAATTTTGAGTCAAAAAATCACGTTTTTTGTTTTTAATGGCAAAATAAACGATGATAATGTTTATTTGTCGCAAAAATAACACCGGATACTGAAAGAGCATACCCAAAAACCCCTGGGTATGGATTTTCAAGAAAATATTTTAACTTTATGTATCATTTTTTTACAACGGAAAATTCATGCACAAAATTGCACTTTTGCGTGTTAATGGGTTAATCAAAGCCTATACACTCATTCATTACCCGAGTTATCCCATTTTTCCAATCCCTACAAAACGTGCGGTCCATTCAGTACTGTCACCCTTGTAAATAATGAACTATTATTCATAAACTAACCATCCTTTCAAAACATGAACTTTAAGCTATTGGGGTCAAACCCAGGCTTTAAAGGCGCGCTTCCCAGTTATATTGGACCTAAGGTCACAATTTTTAGTGATCCTCCGATTTACGGCGTAACAGGCAAGTTGATAACGCACATACCTACCGCTCTATAGCTGCTCATAGGCATGCTACTTTACAATGCTTATGGCGTTACTTACAATTATGCAGCTCGGTACAGTTCTTGTCACGTCGACTGTTTTGTTTTGTTCAGCGCGCATTCTGTCGAGTGATTTTTTCAACAATATTACTTTGTCATTTGTAAGCAATAAATATTGAGGTTTTGGAATTAGTCAAAGAATAAGCATACATTTTTTGGAATTTTTGAAACCATTTATCACCTACTTTTAGATGCCCGAATTTGACGTTTTTGCAAAGAATAAAGGGGCCTTAAAAAGTGATAGCCGGTCTTCAACTGGTTTTAAGACTTATCACTGAATTTTATTCGTAACTTTTTCGATTTTAAAATAAGATTTTTAATATAAAATGTATTTTTAAAATGACCTCTAAGGCCCATAGAGTTAAACGAACAAGAGACCACCTCAGGCGCGGGTGACCATTTCTTATAAACATTTTTCTGCGGTTTCCTGGCACCTAATTATGGAACAGTGTATACGATTATGGAACATCTATAAATAAATGCATTATCTAACGTAGACACGCGTAGATAATTACCTACGTGTTCGACTATGTATAAAGTATAAACACTATAACCGTAGCAGACGTGCGCACTAGGCGCGACGCAATCGCGGTCAATGCGTAGATGCAAGAGGCACGACGCGTAGAGCGCACGAATGCAGGACAGCTACACGCGCTCGAGCCTCCTTAACGCGTGGGGGTCTCCAAACAAAGCGTCTTCCTGAAATAAATAAAAGAAAAAGTTGTAAATAGTAAATAACTTTCCTAGGCCGCAATATACAAAAAAATCTCAGAGTTCGTGTCGTCAGCGACCGGACCCATATGCACTGGACACAGCGAGCTTGAAAATTTGCAATACATTAAAATATGCCCCGCGCGAGTGCAGTTACCGGTCAATACGTCATATGCATGATAATATTTAAAATAATACTGTTAAAGTCATCAAGGTTACAACAAAAAAAAAAAAACAAACGAATCTTACCGTCTATATTGCTAGAAAACACCTTCTCGTCTACGCAAATAACTTTCCACCATTGTTCTGTGGTCCAATCTCGATACTGCATTGCATAATCTAATCTCTTCATCTCGTGGTTCAAACAAATTTCTGCCTTGTTACATGGCCTGCAGCACGTGATGTTTGCCCTTTTACTTAAACTTTTTCGTAACGTTGATTCGTGCACATTGATATTAAGCTTACGAGGAAGCTTGCAGGAACAAGACGTCAGCGAAATAGGGCGGTAGCCCCTGCCCTCGGCTTTTCTGATGAAATGGACATACACCTCTCTCCATGCATTAGGGAATGTGCTTTGCGAAAACATTTGATTGAAAAGATCGAGCAATAAAAGCTTATAGTTCATCGGGAGTTTCTTGAGGATTTCAAAGCTGATTCCATCCAGACCTGGAGCTGATCTGTCGTTTTTTTGTTCTTGATCGATGTTGAGTTCTAGAAAAGTGAAGTGTGAGTCTGGAAAATCATTCCGCTGGGAGTCAGGCATGTAACTCGGGTCGGTAGGAGCCCACGGGGGAGTGATTTTGTCCAAGGCTGAAGAAATGTTCGAGTCCGGCTGCAGGTAGTCAGATAGGTGAGGGGCTTTTATATTTAGAATGCTGTTTTTTATTTTTTTTTGAGACGATGCTTAAAGGAAGGCTGCAGTGGTGGGCTGAGAGCGAAAAGTGGCTTCTAAGCTCCCAGCATGGTTTTCGGAAAGGCAATTCTTGGTATGACAATTTGGCCAATCTAACTGTCACCATCGAATCCGCGTTCAAGGAGGGCCTTGAGGTCTATGCTGCTTTTGTAGACATAGAAGGCGCATTCGATAACATTAATATCGACTTGTTAATGCAGAAGCTAGCCACGAAGGGCGCCTCTCTGCGGGTAGTGAGCTTCGTGAAATTTGCCACAGCTGAACGTTTTATCTTCACAGACTCAAATAAGAAAGACTGTACAGTGGCTTACAAGGGTTTGCCACAGGGTGCAGTCCTCAGCCCCTTACTGTACGCGATATATGCCGCTTCAATTACAGACAATCTACCTCCAGACGTCTTTGCATCCTGTTTCGCTGATGATGTTGCCATCTACAACAAATCAGACCCCCACTCAAATAAACTTGCCACTCTCGAGGAGGCCATTTATACACTCGACTCAAATATTACAAATATTGGCCTTAGTATCGC